AAGAATCATACCACAGTGATATATGTGCACCCATGTTCATAGCAGCACAATTTGTAATAGTTAAAACTTGGAAACAGCCCAAATGCCTATCAACTGGAGACTGGATAAAGAAAATGTGTTTTTGTTTTTGTTTTTAAATAAAATGGAGTACTACTCATCCATAAAAATGAGAAATTAGAGACATTTATAGCTAAATGGATGCATATTGAGGCAATGCTCTTAAGTGAAATAAATAGGACACACATGTGTAAATACTGAATAGTTTCTCTAGTGTGAGAAACTTAAAGTGTAAATAAGGACTAAATGGTATAATAGATAATGAGAAATAGGAAGAAACAGGGTGAAGGGGAAGGGGAAGTGGGAGGGGTAGGGGAAAGGAAAGAAGGGAATGGAATCAATATGAGAAAATGAAAAAAATGGAAAGAAAGTCTTTGTAAATAGGGAGGGATGGAGGGCTTGAAGGGAGGGGAGGGGAAGGGGGAAAATTATGAACTAAGAGAGATTAAGTAAAGGTGCAAATTTCCAATGATGAATATCATTATATTGTATAGCTAAAATGTACCAATAAAATAAAATAAAATAAAAAAGACAGACAATGGAAAGCAAATCCAGGAGTCAAAGGAAAAGGAAAATAATAACATTTCTCAGGCAGCCATCCTATGTCTCCCCATGGAGGCCATTTCCACAGTGCTCTCTTAGCTGCTTTGGCATCCTTCAGTGGAGCCAGCCCAAGGCTCCTTCTTGGTCGGGGCACTCTGTCCCACTAGGACTCTGTTGCTTCCTCAGTTTCACTGTGCTGACCTGACTAGTTCCAGGGCTGTATGGTGGCATTCTCCTGGCTTGCTAAGGTTGTTTGCCTACTGCTTGTCCAGGGCGGGGCAAGAGTGTCACCTTCCTGTTGCCAGCCCAATGGTTGGCTTGTCCTGATCACAGAGCAGGGAGGCACCTCTCGTCCTTGGTGGCAAGGGCTAATGTCTCTGCTTTTCAGCAGCATTACTCTCAATGTGCAGTCCAGTGGCTTGCAGGCTACCGTGAGGGAGTTCTTCCCTCTTGCACTCCGGGAGTTGGCAGCAATGCAGCCCCGGGGTGATTTGGAGTGCAAGCCGGAGCCTGCTCTGCTCCACATGACTGTGTGTTGGCTCCATTCCCCTCACACACCAGTTGTTGATTCAGGAAGGGGCCACTCAGGAAGCAGTTGCTCCTACTCTCACTGTTGTCTCCGATTACATAAAATTCTTTCCATCCAAGTCCAGTGTCCTTTTCTTAGCATTGCTTTTGCTGCCCATGGTCTCCCTCTGTGTCAGTGAGCGATATCTTCTATAATAATGGATTCTACTTTCTTCTTCTCCTCTGTGTCCTCATGGTTCCTTGTGCCCTTCACTCACTTAGTTTGCTCTCAGAGTTGTTAATTTCCAGATTCTGGGTACTTTATCTTGGAGAAGTTGTGTTACTGGCATTCACTGCTCCTCCAGCTTTTCCTCCTTTGCATAATCATGACAGTTAATTTTGAAATTTCCCCTAGTATCTCATTTCTCTCCCCTCAGCAGTGATTACTAGGTTAAGCTCCTAGTAACCTTTCTAGCTCTATGGATTCCTTGCCTTAGACTTTTCCTGAGCAGAATTATATAATATGTGGTCCTTTCTTATGGGCTTTAACTCAGGATACTACTTGAAATATTAACAGCCACCAGTGTGTTTGATGCAAAGTATTCAGAAATCAAATGGATGAAAGAAAAACTTGCTCTATCCATTTCCTACTTCTTTAGTTGTTTCTGAAGCAACCACTATAGACACGGCTGTCCTAAGTTTCAATCTTAGAAATTTGCAAGCATTCTGAGTGCTAACAGAGGTAAATGTGCTACAAAATATCTCATCATGGCAGAATTTCTATATAAAAATAAAAATCATAAATGAAACTAGAGCTGGAATGTGATATACTTGCTACTGAGGCCTGAGCAGATCTTTTCTGGAATTCTAGATGGTGAGATGAGAGCAAGTCAGTAGTTAATCAAGCATGGGAAGCAGTTTCGCTTTGGTGGGTTA